AGCATTAGAAGAAGATGCACCATTTTTATTTCCTTTTCTTTTCAAGGAATCTTGATAAAGCCTAACAAAATGCTCAGCTGCTCGGCATTCATTCTTCCAATGCCCTTTCAAGCCACAACGATGACAATTGCCTCTTGAAGGATTGCTTTGAGAACCCATATTGTTCTCCCTTTTGTGGCGACCACCACCACGACGATTATTATATCGTCCTCTGCCATTGCCACGTCCACGCACATTATTTTGGCCTTGATTTTTATTTTGTCTTCTTTCAGACTGGCCATGTGCTTCAACCTCATTTGCTTCCGGTAACGGAGCAGTTCCCGTGGGACGGGCCTCATGATTTTTCAATAAAAGAGTATTATGTTGCTCAGCCACAAGAAGGCATGAGATCAACTCAGAATACTTTTTGAATTCCCTTTCACGGTATTGCTGTTGTAATACCAAATTTGAGGCATGAAAAGTTGTGAGAGTCTTTTCCAACATGTCCTCATCTTTTATATCTTCCCCACATAATTTTAATTGGGAAGTAATTTTGTATACAGCAGAATTATATTCACATATAGTTTTAAAATCTTGTAACCACAAGTGAATCCATTCATAACGAGCCCTTGGCAATACCGTTGCCTTAAGGTGGTCATACCTTTCCTTCAAACCAGTCCACAATTCAAGTGGATCTTTCACCGTAAGGTATTCAACCTTCAATCCTTCATCCAGATGATGACGAAGGAAAATCATTGCCTTTGCTTTGTCCTGACTCGACGTTGTATTTCCATTGGTAATAGTGGCACCAAGACCTTTAGCGTCAAGGTGAATTTCAGCGTCGAGTACCCATGACAAGTAATTATTTCCAAAAATGTCAAGTGCCACGAACTCAAGCTTTGATAAGTTCGACATGATAAAACTATCATAGAAAATAATTAAATTAGACTAAAATAAATAGTGAGTACACAAGTAATTAACAAAATTATTTTTTTTTCAATGATAATAACATGACACATGTTATTGTATAAAGTAACATCAATTAGTAACTTAATGTGTTAGTATCAAACTTCCGAGCAATTTAAATGAACATTCTGCCTAACATATAACTTAAATAATTTCTAGAAAAATTTCTAGACAAAATTAAAATTTAACTAATTTAAAATAACATAAACTTTTTGGAATTATATATTTCCATTGTTTAACTACCAAAAATATACACACATTGTTTAACACCTAATCATTTCATAATATGTAGTATATTATATTAGAGTGATTAATAATGAGAATTAAGTATATGAATACATACCAGAAGCTTAACTTGGAAAAATCGAAATGATATTAGAGTTTCGTGCTGATAACGTGTTGTAAAACTTAAGGACAAAAGAACAATATAAAGAGGAAGAGAAGAAGACTATAAGACAAGAGGAACAATATAAACTAACATTCTTTCTTTCAAGTGTATTCAACATTATTCTCAACACCACTATTTATAGGATTACATTGAGGAATACCAAAAGGTGTCATAAACATTACATTAAACCTTGAGAATTACTACCCATTAAGGAGGAAATAAACCTAGGAGTTATGGTCATCCAATTAACCATATTATCAACAACATTACTACCAATAAAGGATGAAATTAACCTAGGAGTTATGGTCATCCATTTGACCACATTATCAACAACATCTTATTTTGTAATTCTTAATTTTTCCATTTCATTTTTTAAAATCAACATTTCTTTGCCCTTTTACAGCGAATAAAGGCAATTTTTTTGGGAATAACTGATAGGATACCTTTTATATTTAATATATTTAGTTTAAAAGAAAAGAAAAAACATCAAAATCAACAAGTCTTCAAGTCAAGCATACTTTTTTGATAGATACTTCATAATTTATTTTATTTCAATTTATGTGAGAGTTTTTTCTTTTTAATCATTCTGACAAACCAACTTTTCTTTCCTAGTCTGAAAAATTGCATACTATGAAAGTAGTGTTAGCAATGACACTATAGATTCTCCTATTGTTATTATTTTGAAAAACATCAGGTTTGGAAAAAAAATATTATGGTCTATAAAGAAATTGTCTATATCATGCGCGCGATATGTGAAAAGATTACATTAAAGAAAAGTTATTCACTATTTTTGTTGATTAATGAATTTTTATAAATTAAATGTATTTGAAAGTTGTAATAACTAACATTTACTTATACATATAGATATGCAATGGGAAAATGTTCAAATATACCATCAACTTTGAGAAAATGTTTGTTTATTTATTCTAGAGCAACTTTCACATATAGCAAACTTTAAAATCATATTTGTATGTTATAACTATAGTTTGCATAATTGCGCTCCATAGCAAATTTTATGTTTGCTATGGAGCTTTTGATTTGTATAATTCGCTACAAACATCCAATTTTATACAAATTGTTCAGTTATGTATAAATTCATTTGTACATTATAATTTGTATAATAAGATTTGTATTTGTATAATTATAAGTGTATAGGACGAAAATAAATATATTTGTATTTGTATAGACACTTTTATCTCGCTTTATACAAACACAAATACATTTTATACCGAAGTGTATAAAATGGCTAATTGTATTCCGAAAATGACTAATTGTATACCGAATCAGATGACAAAAAAAAAGATATTTGTTGCGAATTACAATTAAAATAAACTATGGATATAGCATTTAATTTGAATTAATAGTTTGCTATTTCATACAATATTCCCTTTATTCTATTCTTTAAACGTTTGGCTCATTTATGTCATTTTTTTTAGAAAAGGCTCATTCATGCCAATATTTGTTTTCATGCCAATATTTGTTAACTTAAATGGCATAGATGGGCCAAACTTTTAACAGATGACATAGATGAGTCTTTTCTCAAAGTTCGAAGGCATATTTGACCATTTTCCCTTTTAAAAATAATTTAATTAATGACATGGCCGAATTATAATTGACCACGTGTAAAAACTATTTTGCAAACCCGGAAATATTTTTAGTTCACAAATAATGGCATGGATTGTTGACCATATCATATATGATTTCAAAAATCTGATATGATTCTAAAAGATCCTAGACAATATTCTACTTTAAGTTTAACTATGTAGAATTGATCACGCCATCGATATTGTGCAAGTTATGATCTGATATTGGATCTTTGTATATAAATAATAGATAGTTTATCAATTGTAAAGCATAGAAATACAAAATATTTTTCATCTCTTTTTGGTTCCTGATTTATCAATTGTTATCATGGTATCAAGAGCCTAATTTTTCTTTCCAGAAACTGCTTTACTTTTTGCTCTGTATTGTTGTTTGATTTCTATCATCGGTTATCTCTTGTCTTTCTAATAGAGTCACATTCTCACGACATTTTGTCTACCAAATTTGATGGAAAAATTATCCGATGTGAGAATTTCACGAATTTTTTTTCAAGGGAAAAACTTGTTTGGAATTTTGGATGGATCAACAACTGACCAAATAAAGACAAGGAAAAACATGCAAATCTACTTGGATACAATGTATCTAGAACAAATTACACCTAGTTTTAACCACATGTATTTGAACATATCTGGATGCACCAAAATCTAATAAAATTGATAATATTACAAGTTAGAGTCTATTTAAGTAATTAGTTCCTAAATTAGGAGAATTTACGTAAATTTTCAAAAATTAATACATATAAAATAATTATAAAGGAAGTAGTAACTATTCAAATAACGAACAAAGTTTCCATTCTAACAAGTCAATTGTGCGTTAAAGAAGGGCAACTTGGAAACTTATGAGAGGGATCAATGTGCTTAGAAACTACGTGACTATATTTTGGATTGTTAATGGAATTTTTTTATATAGATGCAAAAATTGAATTATTTTACTATTATATAGAAAAGTTTGGGAAGCAGGTCTTCGTCAATATGTCTGGTTCTTTGATAAGGATAATTTGGTTATTTAAGGAAGCAATTAGAAGTAGGCATCTCTTCGTCGACGTGTTTACTTTAAGCTGAGGGTATTTATGGAGTTTCTGTGCTTTTTTCGTTTTAATTTATTTGTCTTACTTTTCTTTCTTAGTTAGTTATATATTTAAAAATTACCTAAATATATTATAAATTACAATACTTAACAACTTAAACTATTAAAAAGAAAAATAAAAATTCAAGTGGCTCTCGAAATTACGTTGGTGCCACATAAAAGGTAACTTGAAGTTGAATTCTGAATATTTTTGAGATTTGAAAAGCCTATCTTCAATAAGTTGTTCTCACAAAATTTCACTCCAAATCACTCACAAAAATTCAAAAACAACTCCAATATTTGTTCATCTCCAAATACAACTTCCATTTTCATTTAAAAAAATAATACTGTAATATTTTTGTTCCTTTTCGGCAATTTCTAAATTTTATTTTTCACATGACATATTTAAGATTATAAGATTGTCGCATACAGTTTTTTATAGAGATAGCTTCGACTAGATTTAAATTTTACCAAAAAACAATACACAATAGAATCATAATTCACCAAATTGTCTTAGATATGTTTGTACTTTTAAAGAATTATTAATTTATAATATTAATGAGACCATATATTTATATAAGGATTTTCTGAAAATATATTATCTTATTATCTTATCGAAATGTGTGATTTTTTCTACTAACTCAAGTCGGGATCAAAGAAAAATATTATTTTAAAGAGATTATTAATTAATCAAATATTAATTTAGTAATGTTTTACTATATGAGACGAAGGATTATTTATTATCAATGTGAAAAAGTTGAGACAACTACATCAACGTGGGAATGGTGTACATGCATGGCCCAAACAGGGACAATTGATAAAGTTGTAGAGAAGACTTGACTTAATTAACATATAGTACCATTTAAAAAGGGGGGGAAAATCTACATGCATCTTCTTGATAGCTATAAATACATATTGATTGGCCTAGTGAAAAATATAAGCAAACAACTACCACACACAAAAAATACTTTTCACTTGCTAGTCTAAAATATTGCACACCATGAAAGTGTTAGCAATAACACTATGGGTTCTCTTGTTTTTTATTTTGACAAATACCAAGTTTGTTGTTTGTGTAGGGATTTGCAGAGACAATGAGCAACGAGTGTTGGAGATCTTGAAGAAAGAAGTATATGATCCCTTGAATCGTCTATCTTCTTGGGTAGTCGGAATTGATTGTTGTCAATGGGAAGGGATCGTGTGCAGCAATCTCACTCATCATGTGATTGAACTAAGCATTCCTGGTGTTTGGTTTGAGTCGAGATATCTAAGGATCAATAACCTAGAGTGGTTGACAAGTCTTTCGAGTCTTGAGAACCTAGAAATGGAAAGTGTTGATCTTAGCAAAGCTAATGAATGGCTACAGGTTATTAACATGCTTCCTTCTCTTGTTGATCTTCGTTTATACAACTGTAGTCTTCATCATATAACACCTCTACTTGATCATCACAATTTTTCTTCACTCAAATCTCTCGATCTTTCTTGGAATGGAAACTTTAGTCGTTCTTCTATTCCGAAATGGGTTTTCAACCTCCCAAATCTCGTTTCTTTTGACCTGAGTTATTGTTCTTTTACTGGCCCGTTACCTGACGGTCCAGTTAACTTGACTCCTCTCACAACCTTCAAGGCTTCTAGAAACTCTTTCAACTGTCGTTTACCTAAATGGTTGTGTGATTTGAATAATCTTGAACTTCTTGAGCTCTCTGCTAGTGGCATTGAAGGTGCGATACAGAGTAAGAGCGGAAACATAACAAATCTTAAATATCTCTATCTTTCTTACAATAACCTCAACTCCACTATACCAAATTGGCTCTATGGATGCAAAGATCTAGAATCACTTTTCCTTGGAGAAAATCGTCTTGAGGGAACAGTTTCAAGTCTGATTTCAAATTTGAGCTCAATAATTAATATTGACCTTTCTAGTAATATGCTTTCCGGAAAGTTACCAAATGTAATTGGGAAAGTTAGGGAAATTAGGATCGGTTAGACTCTCAAATAATCAATTTGAGGGAGATATATCTGAATTATTCAATTTTAGGAGTAATTTCCTTTCCATAGAATTTGGAAATAGTTCTTTAACTTATTTGAGTCTAGACAATAATAAACTCACAGGAGCTGTTCCGGAAAGTGTTGGCCAACTTTCAATGCTAGAAGTCTTTTCCATCTCTAACAATAGGTTGGAAGGCATTGTAACGGAAAGTCATTTCTCTAAATTAACACATTTACGGTACTTTTATGCATCTATAAATAATCTGACTTTAAAAGTGAGTCGGAATTGGATTCCACCTTTTCAAGCCACAGAAATTCAAATAGGCGGCTGGAATATAGGCCCTTCGTTTCCCATGTGGCTCCGAACTCAAAAGCGGATAATGAATGTTGACATATCAGATTGTGGAATACAAGGTGAGGTTCCAACTTGGTTCTGGAACTTGTTTTCTCAAATTCGATTACTCAATCTTTCTCATAACCACTTTGTTGGTGAGGTTCCATTCATCTCGACAGATCATGAGCAGAGTGGTTTTCCGTCATTAATATACTTGTCTTCCAACAATTTTAGTGGACCAATACCATTGATTTATCAGAAGAAATTCCTGATTGTTGGATGAATTGGCCGGAGTTGATAGTTTTAATCTTGAGGGATAATAATTTGATTGGAAGCTTACCAAGATCTATGGAGGTTTTGAGTAATTTGCTATCATTAGACTTACGAAGAAATAGACTCAACGGTCCGTTTCCTCCATCCTTGGAAAACTGCATAAAATAGATTTAGCTGAGAATGTGTTTATTGGAAAATTACCATCTTGGTTGGGAATGAGGTTTTCAACCTTGATAGTCCTTATCCTTCGGTCCAATAAATTCGGTGGTGAATTACCTCAAGAATTATGTCACCTCAAAGATCTTCAGATTTTAGACCTTGCAAACAATACATTTGTTGGAATCATACCAAGGTGTATTGGCAATTTGAGTGCGATGGTCAAAGAAAAAAAGGAAGTGGGAGATGATCACGAGTTACAATATTCTTTTTATGGGGGAGGTCTGATAGAGAGTGCAATGGTGACGACTAAAGGCAACATGTACCAGTATGACACAATTTTGGCGTTGTTTACAAGTATGGACATGTCTAGCAATAATCTTTCTGGAGATATTCCTGTAAGTGTAACACGTCTTGCAGGATTAAGATCATTTAATCTTTCCAAAAATAACCTAACTGGTAGGATTCCAAATGACATTGGTGACATGAAAGTCTTGGAATCTGTTGATCTTTCAGAAAATCAACTTTATGGTCAAATCCCACAAAGTTTTTCGAGTTTGTCTACATTGAGCTACTTGAATCTATCTGATAACAATTTGTCAGGTATGATACCATTGAGCACTCAACTTCAAAGCTTTGATCCCACGAGTTTTCAAGGAAACAAACTCTGCGGACTTCCACTCTTGGTGAACTGCAGTTCGGATGGTAATATTCCAAATCACAAGCATGAACATGATGAGAGTGACAAAGATGAAGTGGATTGGTTTTACATTTCAATGGCTATAGGATTTGCAGTGAGCTTTTGGGGTGTTTGTGGTTCATTGCTTTTCAAGAGATCATGGAGACATGCTTATTTTCGTTTTCTAGACCGTAGCTGGGAAATGTTGCTTGCAAAGTTACCAGTATGTTGAGAGATATGATTAAGGATATTACTATCATCATAAGTTAGTTTGTGTGCTTACATTTCTCATTAGCAATCATGTTGTTTCATTTTGTATTCAAATGAATGTTTCTGAAGATGTTCAAACATTGTTGTTTCTTTCATAGTTCCAATTTTCATTTTTCAATCACAGAGTTGTGAGACATATGTTAAATTCTTTATTTATAATTTTTCAAGTACAAATTGGTGACATGTTTGTGTTTCAAAAAGGACTAGAGCATTATCGGTACAATGGATGATCAGATTCGATCGGGCTAAGTCATTCAAGACTGATGTTGCAACCATTCAGAAGATCAAGGCTGATCTCTCATCCTTTTGATTGTAAACGATGGATTGACAACGAATTATCAACAAATATTATTAGCTAGATGCGATTTAGCGATAGATTTGCAATAAAATGGCATAGCTAATTCTCTTCTTTTTTGTGTGTGTAGTGCTTGTCCTTAAATTATTCTAGCTAGTGGTATTAAATTACTCTCTTTGTCTCAATTTATGTGACAAATCTGAATTTTGCGATTCTAAATGTTTTCTTTAACCATAACTTTTGCATATATCTTTTTTGAATTATTAAATATTGTGACTTATAGTACTTTTTATGTAGTTTTCATATACGTACATTTTACTTTTAAGAATTGAAATTTTCATATCCAAATTCACTGTTAAAATTAAAAAAAATTAACTCTCGAAATCCAAACAAAAGAGGTGAGTCATTCTAGGAATTGGCTTATCTTGGAAAGAGACAACAACTTTGCATAACATGTCTCAAGGTGTGTTTGGTATGTGTTCGTTTTTTTATGTTTTGAAAAATATTTTTCTTAAAATAAGTTTCTTTTGTTTTGAAAAACATTTCTCGTTCACACTTTAAAAACTCCAAAAAAATAAAAACTCGTTTCAATAAGAATAAATCAAATTACAAAGAAGAATAAAAAATAAACAAAAGAAAAAAAGAGTACAACATACTCAAATTTCAAAAGCTAGTTTAAGTACCATTGTCATAAAAATAAAATCTAGAATAAGATAAAGGTTGTAAAATAAAAACGTTAAAAAGGAAAGCATCCAAAGGTATGTCCTAATGGGCAATATAATGAGAGTTGAACCATAGATCGACCGTATTATTGAAGTTGTATATCCTATCTTTAATGAGTGTTGTCAAATATTAATGAAATTATATGACATTTATCCTTTAACTTAGACAATAGCCATTGGCTCATGGTTGGATCAGGACCACCAGTATTATTGAAGTTGTATATCCTATCTTTAATGGTTGAATCAGGACCACTCTTGGTGTATTGCATTTCAGATGATAATATTCCAAATCACGACTATGAAGATATTGAGGGTGAAAAAGATGAAGTGAATTGGTTTTACATTTCAATGGCTATAGGATTTGTACTAACTTTTGGTGTGTTTGTGGTTCATTCTTTTTTAAGAGATCACGAAGACATGCTTATTTTTGTTTTCTAGATCGTAGCTGTGAAAAGTATTTCTTGCAAAGGTACCAATATGTTGAGAGATGTGATTAAGGTATTGCTATCTTCAAAAGTTAGTTTGTATACCTACACTTTTCATGTTAGGAATACAAACTATATGAGATGAAAATGGATCTTTGCTATCATCCTTTTATCTTCCACGGTGTGTTTGGTACGAAGGAAAATGTTTTCTTGGAAAATAAGTGAATTTTTAACTTATTTTCTCATGTTTGGTTGGTGAGTAGAAAATGTTTCTGGAAAATATTTTTTAATGATTTGTTGGTGAATGAAAAATATTTTTTAGAAAATATCTTTTATTTTGGGCTTGAGACTAAAAAAATACTTTTTATGAAAACAATTTCTGATCTGAAAATCAACCCCGATAATTGATTTAGGACCCGACCCTGACACCAAACTAGGACAAGTCCCCGATGACTGTTTCAAAATCCGACCCTGAGATTGACCCAGGAAAAATAATTTCAAAAATAATTTTTTTTTGAAAAAAAAAATTGACGGGGTCACGGGGTGGAGGGGGGGTAGGGGTAGGGGGTGTGGTGAAAATGAATTTTTTTAAATTTGAAATATTTTCCAAAAATAATATTTTTTTAAAAATAAAAATTAATGGGGATAGCCTGGGTGAGGGGGGAGGGGGGAGGGGGTAGGGGTGGCATAAAAATGAAAATTTTTAAAATTTGAAATATTTTCAAAATCTATTTTTTTTTAAAAATAATTATTTGACGAGGGTGGGGTAGGGAGTAGGGGTGGTAGGTGTCAGGTGAGGTAAAAAAATCTTATAATTTGAAGGTAGGGTCTCTAGCCCCCTCCCAGAGGCGAATCCAGTATTTCAAGAAAACGGGTGCACCATTGCTTTAAAGATAAGATCAAAAAATTTAGGGAAAAGGGTCAAAAATGCCCTTAAATTACGTGAAAATAACAAAAATGCCCTCCGTTTATAGTTAGGCTAAAAAATGTCCTTGCTGTCAATATTTTGGTTAAAAAATTCCCTTGCAGTCAATACTTTGGTCCAGAAATGCCCTTATAGTTACTAAAATGGGTCAAAAATGTCATTTTCCGAATACATGTATTTTTTTCTTTTTCAAATTTCAACACATCTTCTTCCTAATTAAAAAAAATATTATTAAAAAACCACGTTCTTGTTTTCTTTCTTTTAAAATCACTTTAACAAATAAAAATGTAAGAAATTTTTTTTTTCTTAATCTCATTTTATCAATTAAAATAGAATAACTTCATGTACCCTTTCGACAGATAATATATGTCATATATATAAGATCATAGTATATCCATCCTTAATTATATTTAAATAACAATAAAAAATAATTATAATAAAATAAGAAATGTTTTCATTTTTTATTTTATTTTTTGAATTGAAGTAAGATAAACATTTGCTAATTTTAAAAAATATTATAATAAAAAAATGTGTTAAAAATAAAATCAACAATATAATTATTTGAAAAATAAGTATTTTTGACCCACAAATAACCATAAGGGCATTTTTGGACCAAAGTATTGACGGCAGGGGCATTTTTGGACCAAACTACAAACGGGGGGCATTTTTGTTCCTTTTCGCATAGTTTAAGGGCATATTGACCCTTTTCCCAAAAAATTATAATAAGAATAACTAAGCGAGCAATACATAAAAATTACATTACCACAAAAAATATCATCAGTTTACAATTGTACTCTACGAGACTTCATATTTTGAAAACGATCTATAATAGCATCATTACTTACATTTTCAAATATCTTTCGCTCTATCTTGCAAACTAAACAACCATTCAAAAAATAAGGGAATCACACCCCTTTCACATTAAAAACAAGGGAATCACACCCCTTTCACATTAAAAAAAAAAAAAAGAAAGAAATCACTTCCTTCAAAATTGATAATATACTATTAAACGTATTCCTTACAAGTTACATCCGCAAAATATGTAAGTTTGAGATAATCAATTCTTTAGCTCTTGATGATTTCCTATTATAAGTAATGCCAATATTTTTTTTATATGGAAACCCTAAAATTAAAGTGATATATTTATTTTTATTTTTTTATTTTGTTAGTTTGTTTATTAAAAAAAGAAATCATAAACTAAAAAGAAATTTACCTTAAACTTTGATAATGATAATTTTTCTAGATTCTTGACTTGAAGTTGGAGACTTAAAGCTTCTTATTTGTGTGGAAAATAAAAGGTAAATTTGAATAGAGAAGAAAAATATTGTTGGAACTTGAAAAGTGGGTGGCAAGGAAACTTTTGAAGTCTGACTTTAAAACTTTCAGAATTTAGTTTTTTTTTTTTAAAAGTAAAAAACGTGTTTTAAGTTAATAAAAATAATTTGAAGCGAATTGGGGCTAGCAGGGATCAAACCTAGGACCTTGGTGCTGAAATCTGGCTGTCAAACCAGTGAACCAATCAGCCATCTTGAGTATTGGTTCCACAAGTTTTAATTTAATATGTTCTTTAATAATTATACAAGTAATATATCGAGTTTAGTCGAATGACCACGGGTTCTGATGACCCAATTTTAACACATAAATTCGCCCCTGCCCCCTCCCCCCAAACCAATCCAACTTATACAATAAGCAAATAAATTAACAAAAAATATAGACTTTTTCTAATTGAGCCCTCCAAAAATAAATGGCTTCTTATTAACAACCCTACATGGCCTCACCAAACTTAGTGTTAAAATCAGGATCATTAACAATATCATCCACAATATTCTTTGTCAATTCATCCAATGCTATTTGTTGATCAATTTGAAGAACCCCGTTTCCCTTTTTAATTTCTTGAAAATATGAATTATCTACCAAAGATGGAATCTTTACATCAAGAGGATAAGTGTTATCAAATATTAATGAAATTCTAGGATATTTATCCTTTAATTCAGCCAATAGCCATGGGCTCATGCTTGGATCAGGACCACCAGTATTATAGAAGTTGTATATTCTATCTTTGAAGAGTGAGAAACAAGCAATTCCAACAGTGTGACCACCTAAATTGAAAATAAACAAGTAGTTAATGGTTAATGAAATGAGATGAAAATTGTCAGAGTTCAAATTTTAGTAGGTGATTTCTTTCAATCTGTCTAAGTTTTGTTGGTCAAAGTTATTCAGTGACCATGTTGGTTAACGGTTACGAGGTAGCATGTACTCATCATAGGGTAGATTCACTGAACAAAGTTATGGATTCAACAAACTCAATATATAATTTTGTCTTGAATGTTGTATTTATGTTTAAAAATATATTTAATATTATAATTAATCTATCTAAAAGTGCAGTAACCAAAGAAGATTATGGCTTAAAACTCTTAAATTTAAAATCATGGCTCTACCTTTTGGATTTTTAGTAAAATAGTATATACTCTAGGTGCATGCAACTCGCAAGCTAGTTTGAGTACCATTGTCATAAAAAAGAAAATGTAGGATAAGATAAAGGTTAAAAAATAAAAACGTTACGTTCAAAAGGAAAGCATCCAAAGGTGTGCCCTAATATGGGCAACATAATGAAATGTAAACCATAAATCCACTGCTTTTCAAATCTTAGTAAAAGTAAATAGGTAATTTCTAATTTGATCCGTCTCAGATTCAGAGTTACTTGGTATATTCACCCTAGTGGGAGATATTATGTACGTGATAAAATAATTGAGGTGCACACATGCCGTAAAATGGAAAATTGCCTAGAAGATTAACCGTGTCTGTTTGAGTAAGACTTTTGCTTGCAAAGAGTTTGATGGAATCAGAAACTGAAATTGTAGCACCAGGCAGATTCACATTTGAAGCTAAGGAAACATCTCCATCCCTTCTTCATGTTTCTACATCATACCATTTTCCTCCAGCCTGTGACATTCTATAATCAAAACTAAATAATATAATTTAGAACTTCTAATTGTATTACAGTCGTACAAATATTATAGCTTATTTAAGACCACAAGTTATAAGAATCTTCAGTTTTTCCTTAACTCCATAGTCAATCAAATAAGTTACCTTAGTTGACTATGCACGCAGCTTAAGAAACAAAATTAGACTTTTGAACTTTGTGGATTTTAGATTAAAGATGTGTGTCGTCCACAGTTAAATCTTGTAATCTGAAACTTGTAATTAGGGGTGTACAAAATCGAACCGAAAACCGAACCAAACCGCAAACCGCAAACCGAGTCAAACAGAAAGAAAAACCCGACTAGTGGTTTGGTTTGACTTGGTTTGGTATTGAAAAAAAAACCCGACTATATTTGGGTTGGTTTGGTTTTAACTAAAAAAAGCCAACCCGATATTATATATGTAATTTTAAAATTTTATTTTATACATAAAAATATTTACTTTGATATAATTTTAAAATATTTCTTATACTATTTCATAGTTTTTATCTTTTAATATATTATTTCAAGTTTAAAACTTAGAATTCGGAATGGTCCAATATACATTATAGTTCATAGATGTTGATAATTATAATAAAACTTAAATCAAAATCAAATTAATACTAATGCAAAACGAAAATCAATTCAACACTAAGAATGACAATAATATTGAATATTTGTTCTTTAGTTTTACATTGGTTTAGACAATTAAAATATATAATCTAATTTTAATTTTCCTTAAATATTTAGTAATGTAACTTATACTTATTAAACTTATTTTAGCATGAGTTAGTACTTTTAAATTATGATCATTTTCATTATGACTTTGCAATATTTATTTTATATGATGATTCATTATTATTTTTTATTGAATATTTTAGTGTCATCAGTACTCATCTCATATTTTATATTATTTTCTTAAGAAACACCTTAGATAATTGTATTTTGGTTGGACTAAAGAAATATTTGGAGCACAAGTTAATTATATGTTTGTATGCAAATTTTACCGAAAAATCCAAAAATCTGAAAAAATCCGAGGTTTATTAGTTTGGTTTGATTTATAAATTTAAAAATTCGACACAATGATTTGGTTTGGTATTTGAAAAACCCGAACCAACCCGAGGTTGAAAAACCCAAAAAAATCCAAATTTTATTAGTTTGGTTTGGTATACAAATTAAAAAATGTTACACAAATGATTTGGTTTGATATTTGAAAAATCCGAACCAACACGGTCATGTACACCCCTACTTGTCATATAGAATATTAAAATTGAAAAACTTACTAAATATAGAAAACAATTATTTTTTTGAGACAGATTAAAAAAGAAATATTTACTATCAATGCTACCATTGAAGAAATAGAGAAAATTACTAATTAATCCCACCCATGTTTTAAACGGATGTCCATTTCAAATCCCTTCTCTACCTAGTCAAAGGTCTTCTAACTTATTTTTAGAAATAGAATTAAGTTCGTTACGATTAGCAAATCAGCCTCACATTATACCGGTAGCGATCAGAGGACTTAATTATAACATAGAAAATCTCAAATGATATATGGAAGTGATAATGATGAAATAAAATGTAAAATTTACCAAGACAACAGCATCTCTAGTTGCCATAGAAATAATGTCAGCACAAGAAACTAGGCCTTGACATTCTGCCTCTAAAGCTTCTTTAATAGCATCAATGAGTGGATATCCCCTAACACTTGAGTTTGGGACTGCTTTTTTCTCACTATTGTTTCCATCCAATAGAATTGATGCATCACAACCCTATTCATCATGTACATAAAAAAAAAATATTAGTCCAATATTCAATGGTAATAGAAAATTGTACCACAAATATTTCATAAAGATCATTCTTTTTTCATAATACCAAAATTTTATGGAATTGGTTCATGAGCAAAATAAGAAAAGTCAAAAGGAAATTATCATAAATTTTTTATTTTACCCTTTATGACATAATTTATATGAATGTTATCCTTATTTTTTTTCACATAAAACACTAATAATACTTCATGTTTATAGTATTGGTGCAGTTGTAGTCTGCCCTCAAACTTGTCTTTACTTTTTGAGATCGGAAGGCTCATTATGTAAGATTTCATGTGCAACAATACAAATAAAGGTAAATTCTTGATTTAATTAGCTACAATGATGTTTGGACTAAAAAAGATAGGATTTAGCCACTGACAAGTTTTATAGCTAAACAACAAAATTTATCGTTACTCTTACTCAACGATCAATTTATGTTAGCTACAAGTGAATTAGTGACGAAGTTCGCAGCTAAATTCAGTTTTCGTAATAGAACACTCTTCTTCCTATCTTCCCTCATAGAGTTCTTGTTTCTACCAAATTTAGAGGAAGAACAGTACTGAACATTCCATACTCTAAATTGTGGACAAAACTAATGTTAAAAATAGACGAAAGTTTAAGAGGACCAAAAGTGCATCAATATTACAAACAAGAGGGACAAATATATTAGTGTTCCACGTGAAAAAGGAATAAGAATGATCTATTTTGGGCCTTTTCTGTAACATCTCGCACCTAGAAACGACTAGAAAGAGTTTAAAATCTGAAAATAATGATTTTTGAAAAAAATAAGGAAATCTGGAAATTTTTTGTCTAAGTTAAGAAAGTGAGTTTTGGCAATTTTCAAACGTCCATAACTCCTATCTCAGGATGATTTAGGAGCATTTATTGATATGGTTGGAAATACCTTGGAGAGATCTTTCCAACGCCGCCAAGTTTACGAAATTTCGACATCATATGAGTGAGATATGCCTTTCGGAAGTTGGGCTGTTGGATTGAGGAAAGTCTCAATCCGGATTTAGGGAAGGGCAGAGTAGTCTTTTCTCTAATTAAATTCCTAATTCGTTTTTAGGGATTTATTGGGGGTAAAAACAGAACTTAATTCAGTTTTGGGAAATTAGAATACGCTTAGGGCTGGGAGAAAAGAGAAAAGAAAGAAACGGAGAAAAACCAAGATTTCGCCAAGAACGTCAAGCGTTTGGAGTGGAATTCGTCGGGGGTGATCCCTATTAAGGTATATGAGATCTTTTAGTGGTGGGTTAGTTTACCCACACACCAACTTGTTTCAATTCAACGATTTTGAGTTGTTACATGTTAAAAGTGAAGTTCTTGAAGGATATCGTTAAGTTCTTGATTGGTTGTGTTGTTGAAGTTTCTTGTTGATTTGATTCGTGTTTTCGGGTGGATTTTCGAGTTAGATCTGTTGTAAGTGGAGAGTACTAATGACCCTAAGTGTTTGGGAAAGGAACTAGGGAAGATTGGAGGATTTAGAGATGAAAAACGAAGGAGAAAAGTCGGAATTTTCTGGGTAAAGGGATGGGGCGTTGCGCCAGCCAGTGTGCCCCAAAGTAGTGTCTGACGTTTTGGCCTTGGGGTGCCGCACCAGCCAGCGCGCCCCAGCATGTTCTCTGAGGTTTGGGTCCTGGCGCCCATGCCTCTCAGAGCGCCAAGGACGCTAGTTCACCCCACTCTTCTGCCATCTTTTCGTACTAGTTTCTAAGTGATGTACCTATGTTTCCTAGTGATTCTAACACTCTAAGGTACATCTAACCATCATGAAATCATCTATAAACATGAGATCATGAACCTTGAATCCATAATCCAATTCAAGGAATGTTAAGATCAAAGTCAAAGAAGTTAAGAGTCAAGTCTAGAAGTTAAGAAGCAAGTCAAAGTAAAGTTTCTCAAAGTTTTCAAGAGTCTTTATTAAACGTTCAAACTTCGTTTTAAGGCTCAAGTTTCAAGTAAAGCAAAGAGTAAGAGTTGAGTTCATTTCTCATAAAAAGCTATTAGGGAACTAAGTATTCCCAAAGAGTTATAAATGTTTTCTCATTTGAACAAGAAAAGGGAACATCGATTCCAAGAGAGCTTTTAAGCTAAGTTTTTGAGTAATTATCTCAAACCAAAGAATGAAGTTTTGTTTTTACAAACATATGAGCTAAGTATATTTTTGGGAGTAGTATTAAGCACAGATATGGAGATGCGAGTTTAGATAACTCAAGTCTCCATAAACCATGTAACCACCATGGGTAGTAAAGGATCACACTTTTTAGATGACTCCTCAAGATGCTTTTAGCATAGACTAGTGGATCCAGTAAGTTAACCATTCTATATGACAACAAAGTATAGGGCAATTCTGGCAGCATGGGCAAGATGTTGTATCAACACTTAGGCTCATAGTGGTGGTTGTCGGTTAGAGAATCTTCCACAAAAGTTATATTACTTTTATATTTAAGTAAAGTTGAGTTCGTTATCGCTTTATCTTTAACGAACTAAGTTGGTTACACTGTTTTACAAGCTTATATATATATATATATATATATATATATATATATATATTGCACGTGTCTTATTACTTTATATTGAGTTCAGTTATTCATGAGTTAAACAGAGCCAAGGTAAGTGTTCCCTTGTATTCCTTTCAAGCTTAAGTTGTTGTTTAACATTCCAACTCGCATACTCGTACATTCAATGTACTGATGCCAGTTGGCTTGCATCTTATTACGATGCAGACGCAAGTAACCAGTATCAGCATCCAGCGCGCCATTGATCCAGTTGAACACTCCAGAGTCAATGGTGAGCCTCCTTGCATTCCGAAGGACTCTTTTATTCGCTTTCCTAGTTTTTCTTTATTAGGATGTTGTGAGGTCTGTCCCAACATCCATCTCAGTATTATAGAAGCTTCATAGACAGTCAGACAGTTTGTTTTGAGTCTCTCATCTATGTATTTGCAGATACATTGTTTTGAGACATAAGTTGTCATTTTGGCTAAGATATTATCATTTAAACTATTGCATTGAGTTTATTCTGTTGAGTTAAGTCTTCCGCTGAGTTAAGTAAGCCAGGCCAAGGGTCCGCTTGGGGCCAACGATGGTCTCTGAGTGCCGGCCACGTTCAGGGTGTAGGCTCGGGGCGTGACATTTTCTCCACAAAAATATCATTATAGATTTAAAACCATTCATTCCAACATCCTTTCCTTCTTTATTAAATTTCCGTATCAAATTAAATTTCCTTATCGAAAGCCAAAGCTCACTTAAGCTCCATTTGAAAATTTGAATTTCTAAAACTAAAATTATTTATGAAAGCAATCATAAATCTATTATGAATAGCAGACAAGAGATGGATAGTCTTTTGATTACACCTCATTGAAGCTCTCTTGTGATATGTGATTTTTCACATTGCCACCTGTATTGAATCTCTGATTTTTTGGAAGCAACTCTCTCAGTCACATATTAGTTTTCAATATTATTTAAAATACTTATTTAATTTATTTCAAAACATTTGTCATTTTATAAGGTAATTATTTCCCCTTATTTAATTGTTCTTGAAAATAAATAATATTATTGATTATATCCTGAGTTCAAATACATGATTATTAGTTGATGATGTTATGATTATTCAGATACCAATAAGAGTACGTAGCTAGCTTTGTTGAGAGATGAGAATAAGATTTAAAATAAATAACTATAATAACTATTATTAACCCTTCTTTTTTTCTTTTCCTTCTAATGTGAAAACGTTAAGAAAAGTCCTCTTTTATCAACTAGACGATTTCATCAATGTGGGCATGGTGGACATGCATGGCCCAAACAGGGACACTTGATAAAGTTGTAGAGAAGACTTGTTTAATTGGTAGGCGTTTGACCATGCATTAATTTCTTCTCATAATTTAATTTCATCTCATGATATGAAATTATGAGAAGAAATTAATGTTTAGATATGCGATTTTACGTTGATTTCATCTCATTATTTTATATTATGAGATAAAATCTTAAATTCTCCAAAAATCATGATTTGAGATTTTTTAAATATAAAATTGATCCTCAAGTATTTGTAAAAAAACCTCACATTTATATCTACTAACCATTTATATTATACGTAAATAAAATTTATAATTTTTATAGTTACCTTTTAAACCATTTATATCTCATTTAATGATTGCTCTCACCAATATAAAATTTATTATAACTTCACATCAATTCCTACTTTACCATTTATATTCACCAAATTCATTGTTTTTTTATCAAATTATTTAAAGACTAGTACACTACAACTTATGTTTAATTTTTTTTATTGATTAAAGTTTGATCAATAAATGTTGTTTTTTTAGAATAGTTTTGTGATAATATATTATGCAATTTTATAAACTTTTGGTAAAATTGTATAAAGAATTGGGACAATTTTAATAATTTTACAACTTATGAGTTTTTTATGTTTATGAGAAAACATACACTATAAAAAGTTCAAATTACATGTTCAAACAAAACTTCTACTTAATCTCATGATTTCAAATCATGTTTTTATATCGCATGGTCAAATGTCCCCTTAATTGGAGAAAAAAGAGAATTCTTTAAAATCTTCAACTCTAACAAAGTGGTGGAGCTAGCTTAAGATTTACAGGATCACTTCAGATCGTCTATATTTATTATAAGAAATTTATTAAATATTTGATTTTAAACTTAATGATTACATTTTCTTCGTTTTAGTTTAAATGTTTTATTTTACTTTTTAATTTATTTTAAAAAAGAGTGTCTTTCTTTATATTTAGTAAGTTTTTCTATATCAATATTTTACACGATAAATTTACTACGACATATTTAAATAATTATACCCATTTTTAACCTAAGTTCACAAAACGTTAAGAAAAGTCCTTTTTTCTTCTAATATGAAAACGTTAAGAAAAGTCATCTTTTATCAACAAGACAACTTCATCATTATGGACATGGCGGACACGATAAAGTTGACTTAATTAATGTATACATAAAAAAAAACACTTTAAAGTCAAGCAGTCCACATTTATTTTCAATTATATTATACAGTTATTAATAGCTATATATACATATAGCAAGAAACTATACTTGCCACACATACTATTCAGTCCAAAATATTACACACCATGAAAGTGTTAGCAATAACACTATGGGTTCTCTTGTTTTTTATTTTGAAAAATACCAAGTTTGTCATTTGTGTAGGGATTTGTAGAGAAAATGAGCAACGAGCGTTGGAGTGGTTGTTTGATTTAAGTAATCTAGAACATCTTAACCTCCGTTCTAGTGGTATTAAAGATGCAATACCAAATAAGAGTGGAAACATAACAACACTTAAATATCTCGATCTTTCTGATAATAACCTTAACTCCGCCATTACCAAATTGGCTCTATCGATGCAAAGATCTAGAATCACTTTACCTTACTGAAAACCATTTTGAGGGATCAGTCTCAAGTCTTATTTCAAATTTGAGCTCAATAACTAATATTGACCTTTCTGGTAATATGCTTACTGGAAAGTTACCAAATGTAATTAATTAAATTACTTTTAATTAATTATGTCATTTTTATAATTGTAGATAGTATGTAACTATGTATATATATACATACTATCTAATTGGCCACATTCTTGGTCAAAGAAAAAAAGGAAGTGAAAGATGATGCCAAGATTAATCAAATATTTTTAGTCGAAACTTTCACTTCCCTTCAAATAATTAAGATAATTTCTTACTTTAATCAACCAAATTCGTTTAAGTTATAATCCTTTAAGTGATTCAAACAAATTCTTACATGATCTATTTTTATAGTTTGACTTTTTATCTTGTCTTTAAAGTGTTAATCTTAAGGATTTTTTTTCTTGTTATTGAAGTGCTAATCTTAATTATTTTTTTTCGAAGTTTTGATCACTTTCAATTCATTTCAAAGGATTAAACTAGTTTCATTTTCCTTAAGAAAAACCTAAAAAATGTCCTTTTGTGCAGTTAATTATTTTTTCTCAAAAAAATAGTCAATTATTTGTCGTTGGATAACTTCAAATGCATGTTAGCGGACACTTCAAATGCTTTAAAAACCTTTCTGAAGTGTAAATGAGAGCCTCTTACCCATTTTCTCTTAATTTATAAAGACTTAATCTGTTAGAGTCCTTTTAAATTAAGTTTTCTTAATTTCTTTAAAAAATTAAGTGGCGACTCTTTTCTAAGTATTTTTCTCAAATTGTTTTATACTTAGAACATTTCTTTTTTTTTTGGTCGAACGAACAACTTAGAACATTTCAAAAAGTGATTTTTTAAAGATAGTAAAATTATGACATAACAATAAGAATCGAGTTAGTTTCATAAAATTTAAGATGCAAAAATGTACAAAAAAAAAGAGAAGATAAATAGACGTACAATTTTAAGAAGCAAATTCAAGAACTATGGAGATATTGCTAAAACCTTCATTGACTACAGTAGATAAAATTAGTAGATTAAAAATAATCAGTCGATTGGTAATTGTATAATTAGAGATAATAATTACTATAAAATTAATTATATTCTTCAATTAAATAAATAAGAAATGAAAAATATTGAGTTAAAAATTAATCTTATTTTTGAAGAATGTCTTTACAAGGACGTAAGATAAATATCAAAGAAAAAAAACGTCAAATTATATTCTAATAATAATGCCCTCAAAATAATAAAACGGAACCTCTATATATAGGGCCACAAAACAATGCCCTCCTAGTTAGGGATGACAATTGTCACGCTCCGAGCCTACACCCTGGACGTGGCCGGCACTCGAAGACCATTGCTGGTCCCCAAGCGAACCCTCATCCTGGCTGACTCCAAGCGGAAGACTAACTTAAGCATACAAGAGCTTAAAACTGAATAAGAGTTTATAAACTCAACTTTACAAATCTATAACTCAAAAGAAAACTCTGTATAATAGAATATATATACAACTCGCCATAAAAGGCAACTTTAGTCTTCAAAACATTTAACAAAATAAATGAAAAGACTTCTGAAACTCTACTGTCTATCTATGAAGCCTCTAACTGATAAAGATGGAAGCCGGGACAAGACCCACGACCTCCTAACAACTGATACAACTGAAAGGTAAATGAAATCCTCCGGAAGCAAGGAGGCTTGTCATAGCTAACTGGAACTCTCGGATGTATCAACGAATCTCCTGTTGATGATCCTGAATACCTGTGTCTGCATCATAAGAAGATGCAGGCCAAATGGCTCAGTACGTGGAATGTACGAGTATGTAAGCTGGAAAGCTAAACAACATAGGCTAGAAGAAAAACTGGAATAAACTGAATAACTTACCTCTGTTCAAACTTTCTCAACTCAAGGAATACTCAAAACTACTCAAACTTACTCAACTCAGAAGATAGATACTGTACTCAGAGACAGATACTCAACTCAAAGATATATACTCAACTCAAAGATAGATACTCAACTCAAAGATATATCCTCAACTCAAAGATGCTTAACTCAAGGATACTCGACTCTTGAATAACTGAGCTCAACTCAACTCAACCTGACTGACTTTTCTCAATATAAGGCAATTTAAAACAAGTGCGATATAAAGAAAGACCGTTTAAAACATGTTGTAAACTCTGTGTGTATACAAGGATACAATAAGCCTGAGATGTATATAGAAATACAATTGAACTGATGTATATAAAATACAATAATTTCTGTGTATAAAAATACAATAACTGCTGTGGGAGTTTCTCTAACCGACAACCATCACATAAGAGCTATAGTGATGATACAGCGATCGACCTCACGCT